AGCTGTTTGATCAATAATGATTTATTAATCCAGAGGCCACGTACTATATTCATTTCTTCGGTAAAGGGCTAACTGACGTCAATGACTTTGAACATGCATTCTGATTGCCTTTGCGTTCGGTCTTATCTCAGTTTCATCACACCACTAACCACCTCCTTTTACCTTCAAACGATGGCCTCACCAAGCCACTTCTGAGCAAGCCCTAGGCTTACTTTCCTGGGGGAAAATTAAGGATTACCTCACTTTCCTGAAAACATGTCCAACAGAAACAGAGCACTTCTTTCTATGAAAAGCAGACAGCAATATTAACATTTGCCAATTTAATTGGTGATTTGCTCAATTCAAGGACCACAGAATGTTTGTAGTAGGGCTAAATGTGTAGCCGGGTAGTTTTGGCGGAGGCTGTTTTGCTCTTGTATATATTTTTAGCAAGTGAGAAATAGTGATCTTTCATATAAAACAGATGCGTGGTTTGCACAAAATTAACATGATTTGTCCTTTGCTAGGCAAAATGGAAGTGGTGAGTGGTGCAGGATTTCAGCTAAAAGATATATTATAGGACATTAACATATCAAGTTGGAAGAATGTTCTTTGCAAGCAAAAATATTGATTCATTAAAAAAACTTTTCAAAATAGAATTGTTCATAAGTTATTATTGCTGTTCCCATAAAAATATTTTCTGTTTAAATTCATAACAAACATTCTTAGGAGGCGAAATGTCTTTTCTATGTCCCATTTAACAATGTAATCACTTTGTTTTCAAAATCTCATTTTATTCCAGCTGGAAGATATATGATCTTGTTATGCAAAACAATCACTTCATCTCTCCAGAACCTTATTATTGGAATATATGATTGTAAGTTTCTACAGAGGGTGGGAAGCATAACCTTTGTCTAGTTTAGATTACTTGCCATGCAGCTGAAACCTCGTCTTCAGAAAGATTATATAGAAATTATTTCAATAACATTATAAACACAGCTTGTATGTTAGGACATTCCAGCGATTTTTTTTAAAATACAAATTCCAAAGTCCCATTCGTAGAAATTCTGATTTGAAGTAAGTCAGGAATAAGACCAAAGAATCCGCATTTTTGTTTTTTTTCTTTTGAGAAAGGATCTCCCTCTGTCACCCAGGCTGGAGTGCAGTGGCATAATGTCAGCTCACTGCAACCTTGCCTTCTGGGTTCAAGTGATTCTCCTGCCTCAGCCTCCTGAGTAGCTGGAACTACAGGTGCCCACCACCATGCGCAGCTAATTTTGTCATTTTTAGTAGAGACAGGGTTTCACCATGTTGGCCAGGCTAGTCTCGAACTCCTGACTTCAAGTGGCCTGCCCGTTCAGCCTCCCGAAGTACTGGGATTACAGCCATTAGCCACTGTTCCTGGCCATTTACAGTTATAATAGAAATGTGTTCATTTGTATTATTCTGTGATGAGACTACTAAATACTATTATTCTTAAGTGACCCATCCTAATTATAGATGCTTAATAAAGAAATGAGAAAAGATAGAATGTGAGAGGAAATTGTGGGTGTGTGACTTGACAAGGGGAAGTGTCACGGAGGTGTAGATGCTGCAGCTTGAATATGGGAGCTTTACAAGGTCACTTGACAGGTGGTTCTGTGATGTTCCTGAAGACTCTGCAGATCATCACACATGAACACCACTGACCCAAGCTCCTCCTGCCTCTGTGTCTTTGAGATGCTCTGCTCTCGGACTAAAACCCTTCTCTTTTTTCTCCCTTTCCTCTGGCTTCCTCTGACAAAATCCTAGTAATAGTTCAGACCTTGCATCAGGCTGCGCCTTCCCTTGAGGGCTCCCCTGAGCACCCCCTCCCTCTAATCCCTGCTGACCAGGCTGGGCTCCCTACTTCAGCTACCAACCAGTACATGCGGAGCTGCTTCGTTTCTATCATCTACATGAAATTTATTACTGTTTCTTTTTTTGAGACAGAGTTTCGCTCTTGTTACCCTGGCTGGAGTGCAATGGCGCGATCTCAATTCACTGCAACCTCCACCTCCTGGGTTCAGGCAATTCTCCTGCCTCAGCCTCCTGAGTAGCTGGGATTGCAGGCACGCGCCACCATGCCCAACTAATTTTTTGTATTTTTAGTAGAGACGGGGTTTCACCATGTTGACCAGGATGGTCTCGATCTCTTGACCTCGTGATTCACCCGCCTCGGCCTCCCAAAGTGCTGGGATTACAGGGATTACTGCGCGCGGCCTATTACTGTTTATATTCTCCAAACAAGGACAAAGATTGGTTTGTCACACCAGATTCTATACCCAGCTCCTAACACAGAACTGGGGAACAGTAGACAATTGAATGCATCGAATGCACAGATTTTTATTTTGTGTAGAATGCCTCATGATCCCTTTGTTACCAGGCCATCAGATATTAACTCAGCACTTACTTGTTTAATTCAAAGATGGATAGTTTAAAGGAGAAAAAAAAAAAACCACTCTTTTTGTTTCCTGATTATATCCTCTTAAACTTTTGGTTGATAGATATATTTAATAAAGAATCTAGTTGTAAGTGGCCACTTTATTTAATAAAGACTCTTAAGTTCCCACCTAACTGAAAAGTTCAAAGCATGAACTTGGGTGCAGCGGCTCATGCCTGTAATCTCAGAACGTTGGGAGACTGAGGCAGGTGGATCACTTGAGGTCAGGAGTTCGAGACTAGCCTGGCTGACATGGTGAAACCTCATCTCTACTAACAGCAGAGACGGGGCATGGTGGTGTATACCTATAGTCCTGGTTACTTGGAAGGCTGAGGCAGGAGAATCACTTGAATCCAGAAGGCAGAGGCTGCAGTGAGCTAAGATTGCATCACTACACTCTAACCTGGGCAAGAGAGCAAGACTCTGTCTCAAAAAAAAAAAAAAAAAAAACATGAACTTGGCTTTGGGAATGAATGGATTCATATCATGCAATTATAAATTCATCTCTCTTGTTCTTCTGTCACAGTTATCTTCTATGTTGACTTCATTCTCAGGCAGAGAATGAAGAGCAGGCAACTTGAATTGCCTATATAGAGGAATCCCAGGGAAAAAAAGAGAGCCTTTCCCCTACGAATCTTGTGTAGCTTATCGAGTTCCTGACCGGCCCTGTGTGGGTCACATACCCACGCCAGGATCCATTTTTGTGGCCATAGTAGTGTAAAACTGGCCAATCTAGGAATCATGTTCACCTGGTGCAGGTAAGGAAGGATTCCTACAACAAAGACTAATTTGTTAGCTGAAAAATGAAGAAAGGGAATATGTGCAGGTGGACAAAAACCTTCACGACCATGATTCTGTGCCAAAGAAATACAGGGCATCCTGGAGAATCAATCTTCAGCATTGGTTCTGATCAGGCACCTTGATTTCACCTGCACATTTTTTTTTTAGTAATACATGGAAGCTACTGAGAGAACACTTTAAACATTGCTTCTTTCATGTACTGACTTATTCTAATACAAAATGTTTACACCAAGATCTAAGGATAGAAGAATGAACAGGACACACAACAGGCCCTCCTCTGATGGAACTTACATTCCATTGTATGTGAGGTGGATGAGGGAGGTAGACAAAATTCAAACAAAGAAACCAATAGATCATTAGAAATTCTAATAAATGCTGAGGGAGGCACCTTGGGGGTAACTATCATTTCTATCAAGTGCTCTGTGTTCTATTTTTTTGTCTTTTTTTTTTTTGAGATGGAGTCTCTCTCTGTCACCCAGGCTGGAGTGCAATGTCACGGTCTCAGCTCACTGCAACCTCCGCCTCCTGGGTTCAAGCGATTCTTGCCTCAGCCACCAGAGTAGCTAGGACTACAGGCACGCACCAGCATGCCCAGCTAAGTTTTGTATTTTTAGTAGAGACGGAGTTTCACCATGTTGGCCAGGATGGTCTTGATCTCCTGACCTCAGGTGATCCACCCGCCTTGGCCTCCCAAAGTGCTGGGATTATAGGCATGAGCCACTGTGCCCAGCCTGTTCCTTTGACCTTCTAATATACCCTATAGTTTATTTATAATTTACAAATTAAGTTTGCATTTTTTTTTTTTTTTTTTTGAGACAGGTTCTTGCTCTGTCACCTAGGCTGGAGTGCAGTGGCACGATCACAGCTCACAGCAACCTTGAACTCCTGGGCTCAAGCAATCCTGCTGCCTCAGCATCCTGAATAGCTGGGAATGCAGGTATGTACCACCATGTCTGGCTAATTATTATTATTATTATTATTTTGTAGAGATGGGGTCTTGCTATATTGCCCAGGCTGGTCTTCTCCTGGACTCAAACAATCTTTCCACCTCAGCTTCTCAAAGTACTAGGATTATAGGTGTGAGCTACTGCACCTGGCATTAAGTTTGCACTTTTTAAAGTCATCTGCCATCCCCCTCCATTAGACTATAAACTCTGTAAGGGCAGAAATTTTTTTCACCTGGTACAGACAAGGAAGGATTCCCAGAATAAAGAGATTGTTATTTTCACCTCTGTATCTTCCAGTGCTGCAGGCACAGTAGGTGCTTAATAAATGGTATAGAATGAATGAATAAATGAAACAGAGAACAGAGGGGATAGGGATGAACTTTGGACATGGAAGACAGAGATGGCCTCCCTGAGGATATAAGATTGTGGGACATCAATCATGAGGATGCATCCTTGAGATAATATGGAAGACACATGCATGGAGTGCCTCCTGCTTCCAGTCCCTTGGGGACACCTTCCTTGTCCCCTCCCCAGGTCATGGCTGCGGTTATACACACTCATAGTATCCTGCAGTTTTCCTCCTTAATGTGGTGTAGGTACTTGGATAATTATTTTTAAATGTCTGTTTTGGCCAGGCACAGTGGCTCACACCTGTAATCCCAACACTTTGGGAGACCAAGGCGGGCAGATTACACGAGGTCTGGAGTTCAAGATGAGTCTGACCAACATGGAGAAACCCCGTCCCTACTAAAAATACAATATTAGTTGGGCGTGGTGGCGCATGCCTGTAACCCAGCTACTCGGGAGGCTGAGGCAGAAGAATTGCTTGAACCCGGGAGGCAAAGGTTGCAGTGAGCCGAGATCGCACCATTTCACCCCAACCTGGGGCAACAAGAGCAAAGCGCTGTATCCAAAAAAAAAAAAAAAAAGTTTGTTTCTCCTAATACTATAATCCCCACAAGGATAAAAGAGAAAGTACTTGGAGAATTCAAGAAATGAAACCATGACCGACGGGCTGCTACTCCAGTGTGTGGTGAGCAGGGGGTGAGGGGGATGGCAAAGCTGGAGAGAGATTCAGGGCCCAGATCATCACAGGGTCTGTGGCTTGTGATAAGGAGTTTGAATGTTGATTCCAGTGTGATGAAAAGCCACACTGGATTGCATGGTTCTGAAAAGTGAGGAAGCACAGGATCTGAGTTACGTTTTCACCTAGTGTTTCTTGAATCAGTCCAGAGCAATTTTCCCTGCCCAAGCCACCTTCACTTCTCACTGGAATTGCGTGTAATGAGTTTTCCCTCATCCACTGGTGTCCCTCTGCAATCCGCTTTCCACACACCAGCACTAGAGGTCAAGTCTGTAGTCACTCTGCTGGAACCTGGACGGGCTTTGCATTATCCCTAGGGTAAAGTCCAGTCATCACGAGCCCTGCAAGGGAGCCCAGGGATATGTCTCTCCCGCTGGTCTCGTCTGCAGGACTCCGTCTCTCCAGCTCACTTCTCCACAGCTGCGCTTGCCTTGCTGTAATTGCTGGAACCCACCAGCCTGCTTCGTTACTAGAACGTCCCACATGCTCCACCCCTGCGTCCTCCACACCTGCTAACTGCCTCCTTCTGCTTCCGGTTTGTAGAAACGTCACTTCCTCAGGGACACCTTCCTTGCCCCCTCCCCAGGCTGTGACTATGGCTACACACACACAGAGCACCTTGCACTTTTCCTGCTTAACGTCGTGTAAGTACTTGGATAATTATTTTTAAATGTGTCGTTCTCCCAACACGATAATCTCCACGGGGCCGGGACTGTGTCTTCTGATTCGCCGTCTAGCACTGAACACATTCTCGGTGCTTAATACATATTGATTGACTGATGGAGTAAATTAAATAGGACTGTTTAAGCAACACCCAATACATTTGCCTTTTAAGCTGGGTGCAGTGGCTCAATTCCAGCACTTTGGGATGCTGAGGCAGGAAGATTGCTGGAGCTCAGGGGTTCGAGACCAGTTTGGGCAATATAGGGTGTTGCGGGTTTACTACTTAAAAAAAAAAAAAATAGCCAGTGCTTGAGCCAGGGAGATTGAGGCCTCAGTGAACCATGATTTTACCACTGGTTCAGCCTGGGTGACAGAGTGAGACCCTATTTCAAAAATATAAACAATTACAAAAAAGATTTGCCTTTTAGTTCACTTTAGACCTTTTATAGTTACACCCATTCAATCTTGTTCGTTGAGACAGAGTCTCACTCTGTCACGCAGGCTACTGGAGTGCAGTGGCATGATCTCTGCTCACTGCAACATCCACCTCTCAGGTTCAAGCAATTTTCCTGTCTCAGCCTCCCGAGTAGCTGGGATTACAGGTGTGCGCCACCATACCTGGCTAATTTTTGTATTTTTAGCAGAGACAGGGATTCACCATGTTGGCCAGGCAGGTCTGAAACCCCTGACCTCAGGTGATCCGCCCGCCTCGGTCTCCCAACCTACTGGGATTACAGGCCACTGTGCCCAGCCTAGCATTGTTATTTTCTGATTTATCATGCTTCTTTTCTTCAATCTGGTCTAGCAGTCTTTCTTCATCCACTTTTTTTCCCCCCACGATGATAATGCAATGTCTTATGTGAGGACTTCTCAGGGTCACCTAAGTCTCCAAGAGGTGGCAGTGCTACCCTCACCTCTTCCTTTCTGCCTTGGGAACAGCAGTCCTCCTGTCACTAGCAGTCAGGTCAAGCCCTTCACCAGGTCTACCACTGCAGAACTCCTATTCCGGAATAGATAGATGACTTTTATTATTATTATTATTATTTGAGATGGAATCTCTGTCTGTTGCCAGGCTGGAGTGCAGCGGTGCAATCTCAGATCACTGCAACCTCCGCCTCCCAGGTTCAAGCAATTCTCCTGACTCAGCCTCTCAAGTAGTACCTGGGATTACAGGCACGTGCCACCACACTCAGCTAATTTTGTATTTTTAGTAGAGACGAGGTTTCACCATATTGGCTAGGATGGTCTCAATCTGCCTGCCTAGGCTTCCCAAAGTGCTGGGATTACAGGCAGGAGCCACTGTGCCCAGCTGATGGATGGCTTTTTAATGCTAAGGAAAGCGACTCCCTCTGGAATTCTAGGTATTTTATAGAGATCATCTCACCCTCAAAGTCCAGGGAGGAACTTGACATTAGGAAGGCAGTAAGTGACAACAGTGTCACTCATTGGGTTGGCTCAGGCAGAAGTGGTGTCTGCTAGTGTGAGACTCTTTGTCATGAAAAAGCAGGCCAGGAAAAGGTGAGTGCAATGTGGTGTGATAAGGCTAGGGTCATTATTTCTCAAGGAGTTAAGTCAAAGTCATCATCATAGGAAAAATAAGTATTCCTCATGGAAACTAGATTGGAGGGCTGTGGCTTTAGCAGTCCGGCTGAACAGGTGTTCAAACACCCACAAGCCTCCTCCTTTGGCAGGATGTGGAGCTGCAAGCTCCTCTGAATGGAGTCAGTAGGAAGCCCAGTGGCACCCAGATGATATGAGAGAATCAACTACTCAAAACGGGACCAGGACCATAGAGAGGTGTCGTGTCCTTCAGAAGGGTCTGGGAAGGCTGACAGGGAGAGTTGCAGAGGGACAGAGAGAGAGATCGAGAAAACAGGAAGTTAGCCTTGTGTGGCTTAGGGGTCAAGTTCATCACATGAGAACTTGTGAAGCCAAGTCTCACAGTCCAGCCACCGGCTGTGAGACTTGGCTTCATAACGCCTCCACCCAGCATGGGTGCCCATAATGCAGTTTCACGTGATTCTCCCTTAACCACAGAGCGTGGTTGAAGATGAAACCTGTGTGGTTTTCAAAAAGTGCCAGCTCTGGTTTTCAACAAAGAGACTTTTAATAAAGCCATAAACTGGGTGAATCATAGTCCCTCTTGGCTTCTCTTTTCTTCTCCAGTATAATTTTAATCCTGTTTGTTTCTGAGCTTATTTCATCATTTTTATCTACTTGTTTAACCCAAACTCCTTAAAAACTGCAAGTTCGTTTTTGTTAATATTTAATATTTTATTTCAGGTTCCCACCTTGGATTCAGATAGGTTGTAAAAAAAAATTCATCACTATTACCACCACATCTGGCTATTTGGGCCACTGGAAGCCTCTTTTTCTCAGGAAGGAAGGCCCATGGCTCACGTTCTATGGCGGTCAGGGAGTGATTTCTCCTGTCTCAGTGGCTTCTGCATTGTAAGATTAGAAGTTTCGTCTGTGGGAGGGTGATTATAGAAAGGAAGTTGTAAAACGATTAAATGTTTTAACTATAGAGTTTTGATTATAAGCTCTGAAAAACTGAAGAAAGAGTAACTGGAATTCATTGCTTAAGAGAGACAAAATAGAATTGAACTGTTACCAATAAAAGATTTGATCTGCTTGGGGTTTTTCTTGTTTGTTTTGTGAGTGGGTTTCTTTTTGTTTGTTTGTTTTGAGACCAAGTCTTGCTCTGTCACCCAGGCTGGAATGCAGTGGCATGATCTCAGCTCACTGGAGACTCTGCCTCCTGGGTCCAAGCAATTCTCCTGCCTCAGCCTCTCATGTAGCCGAGATTACAGGCATCCACCACCACGGCTGGCTGATTTTTCTATTTTTAGTAGAGACAGGGTTTCACCATGTTGGCCAGGCTGTTCTCAAACTCCTGACCTCAAGTGATCCACCCATCTTGGCCTCCCAAAGTGCTGGAATTACAGGCATGAGCCCTGTAAAACTGTGCCCAGCGTGGGACTGCTTGTTTATTTAAGTTAGGAATGAATTTTTTTTTTACTGATTTACCTATAGCCATGTGGAGATACATGATATTTCAAAATATCTTCAATAAAAGTGATTTTTATTTAGCCAAAAATGTCACATGCCTCAATTCTATATTTGCGCATGTACTTTATACTAGGTTTGTGGTAAAATGGAGCATTCCCTCTAGTGTTATGTAATATGGCAGTGGACGAAAGAGTGAAATTTTGTGTCTTATTACAGTAGAGTACTAAGGAAGACGAAAGACTCTCCTTATTTGGAGAACAGGAAGTGGTCTAGGATTGAAATCCAAAAAAATCAAATTTGTTTGATGTTACCAGTAGTGACCTGCCTTGATGTGGCTTCTTCAGATGCAACTAGAACCAAAAATTGTGACATCTGAAAGTGGTGGGAGAATTTGAGGAACATGAGTCAGAATCTGTTACCTAAAACTTCAGCCTCTGAAGTCATTATTCCCAGGATGAACGACTTGCTTTACAGAGTCTCTGCAATTATTGTCACTGGGAGTAGATGGAGAAAAAGGTCGTTTGAGAAGACTAAAGCTTTCTGAGCCATTCAGATTTTCTTACTTGATCTCTGTAACTGCTTCAGCTTATCTAGAGAGCAGTTCTGTTCCTTGTATTCCTTGAGGGGATAAGAGAAAAGCAATTTGTGGTTTACTAACATCTGCATCAGGATTATCTGATATTTGTTAAAGATGTTTAAAACCTGGACAGCATGCTGACCCAAAGAATTGAAGTTTTGGGAACCGTATTTTTAAAAAGCTCTCTAAGTGATTTTTTGGCATCCTAAAATTTGGGAACTACTGGTCTCTAGTATGGGAGCCAGTAGCCACATAAATAATGAATGCTTTTGTTGATACGGATGTTATTACCAGAATTAATTTTAATGAAAACCGAAGCTGATTAAGACAATCTTACTGCCTATTTCTGCTTAAAGCATTCTTTTTTCTTTTCGTTTTGAGACAGGGTCTCTGTCACCCAGGCTAGAGCTCAGTGGAGCAATCACAGCTCATTGTAGCCTTGACCTCCCAGGCTCAAGTGATCCTCCTGCCTCAGCCTCTTGTGTATTTGGGATTACAGGTACTCACCACCATACCCAGCTAATTTTTATTTATTTTTGTAGATACAGGGTCTTGCCATGTTGCACAGGCTGGTCTCAAGCTTCTGGGCTCAATTGATCCTCTTGCCTTGGGCTTCCAGAGTTCTGGGATTACAGGCATGAGCCACAAAGAATTCTTTTAAAAGTGTATGACAACTCTGGGTAAAAGAAAAAAATATTATTTACTTTAACTCTGTGTATTCTTGAGCAATAGTATTCTTGACCAGTGGTTCTGGAATAGAGCAGTGCATTAGAATCACTCTCAGGGTTTGTTAGAATACAGATTGCTGGGCCTCATCCCCAGAGTTTCTGATTCAGTAGGTCTGGATGAGCCCTGAACACTGAGAGTTTCTAAGTTTCTTACAAGTTCCCATATGTTTTAGTCTGCTAGGGCTGCCAGAACAAAATATTGTACACTGGGTGGCTTAAACAACAGAACTTTATGATCTCATAGTTCTAGAGGCTCAGAGCCCTAGATCAAGGTGTTAGTAGCAAGGTTGGTTTCTGCAAGGCCCCTCTCCCTGGCTTGCAGATGGCCGTCTCTTCATGCAGTCATCTGTCTGGGTATCCCCGGTATCTCTTCTGGGTATTCAAATATGCTTTTCTTATGAAGACACCAGTCGTATTGGATTAGGGCCCACTCTACTGACCTCATATTAGCATAATCATCTCTTTAAAGACCCTGTCTCCAAATGCAGTCATATTCTGAAGTATTGGAAGTTAGGACTTCACCATATAAATCTCGAGGGGAACAAAATTCAGCCTGTAGCATCATAGAATTCTGAGGCTTAGATCTAGGGACCACACTTTGAGAACCACTCTTCCAGACTTGACTGGCCAAACAGGAAATCATCTTCTGAAAATATATTTCTCC